GTGTGTGTGTGTGTGTGTGTGTGTGTGTGTGTGCGTCCTTGCTTTTGCTACTTGGTGGGGACAATTTTGCAGGAAAATGCAGCCTTGTGGGAATTGGATGATCCTCATGGGGACCAAAACCCGGCCCCCACGACTTCTGAGGCTGATTTTGGGTGGGGGGCTTGGGTTTAGGATCAAGGTATGAATTGAGTTTAGGTTAGTTTTAGGGTCAGGGAGTTACCTACAAGTTGCGTTTCCATTGCAAATGTGCGCAAAACTTTTTCGATAWTCTGTTAATGTCGAAAAACAGTTTTACAATTGCAGTGTTTCCATTAAGTAAGAAATGCTATTAAAGTCAGGGGTGAATATGCTTGTTCTCGTGATAAGTCATTACAAACATGGCGGCAATGGATGTAAACACATAGCATATTGCTACCACAACACTAGCGCTTATCATTGGAGGAGACCTTGGTGTCTTATCCAGGCTTTCGAGTGACAAGCCCCTAATACTTGGGAGCGGCTACGTATGCTGTGTTTTTGGGAAAATGTAGTCGGTGAGTTTAATACTTTCTTTTATAACTTTGGTGATTTTACAACTACATTTACTTCCTGTTATCTTCTTTTTCGTCGTCATTGTCGCCAGTAGAAACAGCCGGTTCTTGATCACGTGACTCCCGTGATGCGAAAAAAGTGTTTCCATTGCAGTTTTGCGAAATACATCAATTTCGATACGGCCGAAAAACCACCTCAGCCTAGCGCAAAACCATTTTGYCGAAAAACATCATTTTTTTCTAAATTGACGTGTTTCCATTGAGCAAATTTATTTTCGAAATTCTAATTTGCGCATTTTCATGATCAATGGAAACGCAGGTTAATTTTAGGGTAAATGGTCAGGGTTAGGATATAAAATTTCCAAAAAATGAATGGAAGTCAATGGAAAGTCCCCACAAGGATAGAGAAACATAGTGGGGTGTGTGTGTGAGTATGAGCCCCTGCCTAAAGTTCCACAGATTGTCCAAACCTTCATGGTCCTGGTGGTCCAAAAGACAGAATTTATATGTTCATATAAGACAGATAGATAGATAGATAGATAGATAGATAGATAGATAGATAGATAGATAGATAGATAGATAGATAGATA